CGAAGCGACCAACAATGAGCGGAATACGGCGTCGAATCCCGGTGCGCTTCCGATGCAACAACGAGGCCAAAACGGTGACGGCGAGTTTCAAGGTTCACGGTGTCCGCAGGCGTAAGTTTACAATTTTGAAGATCAACGATAAGGAAGTTAAGCTGCAGTTGGATGCTGCGTCAGACATCACTTTGATTTGTCGAGACACATGGTGTATAATATTGGGGCGACCACCACTTGTCCACACAGCACGAAACGCATCCGGCGGTATTTGGAAACTTCTCGGAGAGTTGCATTGTCAGGTCAGTTTCCGTGATCAGCACATTCGTACAAGCTGTTTTTTGACAGATCAACCAGGATTGAATTTGCTGGGTCTCGACTGGATGGAGGAATTGAAATTACTTGACCAGTCAGTTAACAGCATAAGCCAGAAATTATAAGTTGAGAAACACAGAGACGCAGAATATGAACCTCGAACTTTACAGTCAAATTGCAGAATTGAAACGACGCCACGAAAGTTTGTTCCAACCCGGTTTTGGATGCTGCCGGATAGCCAGAGCTGAGCTGAACCTCAAACCAGACGCCAGACCAGTCTTTAGACCAAAACGTCCAGTGCCGTACGCAACACAACTAATAGTGGAGTCTGAGTTAAATAGGTTGCAGTCGGAAGGCATAATCGAGCGCGTACATTACTCCGAATGGGCCGCAACCATCGTTGTGATAAAGAAAGGAAACCGCAAGGTACGTATTTGTGCTGACTTTTCAACCGGCTTAAATTCCATGTTGGAGAACCACCAGTACCCTTTGCCTATACCTGAAGATTTGTTCACCAAGCTTGACGGTGGAAAATGGTTTGCGAAACTCAATCTAGCTGATGCTTACTTACAAGTTCCAGTAGCCGAGAAATGCAGAACTCTATTGACGGTCAATACGCATCTGGGTCTTCTTCAGTACAATCGGTTGCCATTCGGAGTGAAAACTGCTCCCGCCATTTTTCAACAAATCATGGATACGCTGCTGAACGATATCCCTGGGGTCGCAGTATACCTGGATGACGCATTGATTATGGTGTCTGACCCACAAACATTGCTGGCCACGTTAGAGAAAGTGCTCACTCGTCTAGAAGAAGCTGGTTTCCGGTTACGAGCGGAAAAATGCAATTTCCTGATGGAAAGTGTCAAATTTCTCGGGTTCGTCATTGACAAACATGGCAGACGTCCGGATCCCGCTAATATAGAAGCCGTCAAGTAAATGCCACCACCAAGGGATGTTGCCGAACTTCGTGCATTTCTCGGTCTTATAAGTCATTATAGCGCCTTCCTGCCAAGTCTACATCAGACTAGAGGTCCTCTGAACCAGTTGCTGATGAAAGGGAAAGAATGGCGATGGACAAAGGAGTTCCAACAATCCTTTGATACAGTTAAAACAGCGCGCAGTTCTGATTTACTTTTGACCCACTTCAACCCAAATTTGGAGATTGTTGTTGCTTCGGACGCCTCCAATTATGTGTTGACGATGACTGCGTGATTGCATCTGCCAAATTCGAGTCGGAAGTTCAGCGCATCCTGGTTGACAGTCTAAGGGAGTTGCCAGTAACGTCGGACACGATTCGTGCAGAGACGGTTTGAGACGATATCTTGCTGAGTGATAGGGTTTGTGCAGTCCAGTTGGCCTTATGTCAGAAATTCGAATGAGTTACAAACTTTCTTTAATCGACGCGGATCCGTTTCGGTCGCTGACAATTGTCTAATGTTTGGAGACCAAGTCGTGGTACCAAGGAAGTTGCGGAAGCGAATACTACAGGTTTCATTCAGGACATCCGGGAACCAGGCGAATGAAGGCACTGGCGCGAAGTTTTGTGTATTGGCCTCAAATGGATGCAGAAATCGAGCAGTTCTGCCAAAGTTGTGAATCTTGTCAACAAGCGGCAAAGCCACCTCCGAGATGTTCGTGGCACCTTTGGCAAAAGTCGGAAAAGCCCTGGCAGAGAATTCACTTGGATTATGCGGAACCAATCAACGGTCAATCTTATTAGATCTTTGTTGATTCCTACACAAAATGGCCCGACATGATTCCGATGCAAAATCCTACCGCCCAGCACACTATCAATGAGCTGAACAAACTGTTCCAGTATTTTGGCACCCCAGTTCACCTCAACGCTGTTCAGAGAATCTTGCAGACAAAACGGAATCCAGCACAAGTTTTCGCCGCCGTACCATCCACAATCGAATGGGCAAGCCGAACGGTTTGTAGATACTTTTAAACGTGCTCTCCTCAAAGCGGAAGGAACGAGGGTGTCACGAGATGCAATTCAGCCGTTTTTGAGGATGTATCGAAACACTCCAAATCCAAACACACTGGAGGGTAAATCTCCTTCTGAATGTCTATTTGGACGAAAAGTTAGAATGACATTTGATAGCCTGATTCCCAGAAATGTTGACAAACGCAACGGACAACCGAGAAGCGGGCAGGATAACAGGCTTCGCAAGTTCAAGATTGGCGACTTGGTGTATGCACGAAACTTCCAGACCCCAGAAAGATGAGTAAAGTTATTTATGAGATAATGGTCGGAAAGGACAAGTGGACCAGACATATCGATCGTCTACGACAGCGGCATGGCAAAACTCAAAGAGATCAAGAACTAGCGGCACCACAGTGGGACATACTACTGGATACATTTGGTTTAGAAAACAGAACTGATCCCCAAAGCGGAACACGGCCGGTCGCACAGACGCCACACGACGTGACATCCAGGCCAAGTCGAAGAAGAAGGCAGACGCGATGGCTACAAGTGGACCCCAGGGTAAAGAGCTACGACCAAGCCCAAATGCGGCAAATAGGTAGGAGCAATCAAGTTGAAGGGGGAGGTAATAGAGACGGAAGCGGAGCTAAAGTTGGGTATCGACTGAGAATTGATCGGCCAGCAATTACCAGTCCGCGTAAAACGAATCGTACTATACCGTCAATATGATAAACCCGGGGAGCGGAACTCACTCACACCGGCTGAAAACCGGACGCACAAAAATGAACGATCTTGACCTCCTAAATTAGCATATTTCGGTTACCTATAAATACAGTTAACTTATGGTGTAGATAGACTCCCTGTTTACCGAGCCTTGGTCTTCTGTATTCCGTCGGTTGGGTTGGCGCGTGACTGAGAAGTCAGACAGTCGCAGTCTCATAGGGCAGCTAGCAACCGTACAACAGTCGTCAGTGGCAGAGAGCAGAGGTAAGAAGAAGCGTTACAACAGTGAAGAAGAAGCGTTACAACAGCTGGGTAGTAACATGTGTTGCGCGTAAGCAACCAGAATCAACGACCCTCATGGGGTTGCTGAACTAACTGCAAGCGGCTTGTCCTATGGCAATAAGTAACGCGTCCGGAAAGGCTATTGCAGCAAACAGTGGCCAAACTGGAGTGAGCATCGTTCGCATCTCCAACGCTGCTATCGCTCGTTGTTTGGATTGCGTGAGAAGCAGTTTGTATGCAGTTCGTTTGATGATATCAACTAAGGTTAATTTATGAAGTATCACTAGATGCTGTTTGCTTGTGGTTTCCACTTATGTTCCCAACGACTGCAGTTCTGATGCGGCTAAGGACACCTACTACCACGGACTGAACACGCTACTACGCAGCGTTACCAATTCAGATATCGTTATCGCCGCTGGGGTTATGAATGCGCAAACAGGTCATCTGAACTCTTCAGAACTTCTGCTAATTGGTAATTATGGACTTAACTCCGACCAGACGGACAACGGCGAACGTCTGTTACAGCGTTGTGCGGAGCACTGGTTGTTGTTTAGTAGCACCGCATGTAGACACAGTGGGGGCCGAAGCACCACTTGGCGTTCCCCGATAGCTGGCCAGCGATGGACCCAAATTGATCACATGGCCGTAAGTTACAGGTGGCGTCGTTCCACCATGGATTGTCGCTCGTTCTTTAACACCCGTGTCGACTCTGAGCATGTCTTGGCACGTTGTTTCCTATGTCCTTTACCGAGAGAAGTACCAAGCGCCCACCTGGACTGGGGAATGAAGAGTTATTACAGTCCTCGGTCACGTAAGCCTACGAGGATGCCCTACATAGCCGCTCTCTGGTTCGAAAGATGCTCAGTTTCAAAGGAATAGAATCTCGGCTGCCGTGCACGAGGATGGAGCAGCGGCTTGCGATACTATCAATCATCATCGTAGTAGTAACTGGATATCTGTGAAGTCGGTGAACCTGTGGGAATCCAGAGGAAAACTTCCGGCTGGCTCAGAGTACAATGTGACCAGACGGACTATTAGGCGCGAACTAAAGCGAAGTCCGCGATCTAACAAAGAAGCTTTGTGGACCAGTCGGCCTCAAGAAATGGAGGAGGCGGGAGCAGTAGGAAACTATCGCAAACTCTTTCTGCCGATCCGCGCCACTGGTCACAGAAAAAGCAAGCGTCAGTGAAACAATCAGAGGCAGCGCGGGTACTCTGATTCACAATAAGGTACGCCGTATGGCTCGCTGAGCGGAACGCTTTCAAGATCAGTTCAGTTGGCCACCTGCTTTCGGACCTCTTCCTATTTAGGTGGTGCACACCGAGCCATAGCCAGTTAGTTTAGAGGCTCAATGGGGAGTGGAGGTAGAAACGCGATCCGGGCCTTTGATCGTTTTCAAGATTCTGGCATGGATTCCACCGCGTCCCTACTAGTTAAGGATGGCGATGAGATCCTCTGCAAAGCACTGACCTTCATGTTCGAAGATGTCTGGAGGGCAGAGGTCATTCCAGCTAACTGGAGGGAACCGATTCCAATTGCAATATACCAGAAGGGCAGTCGCAACGACTGTGCTAACCAAAGGAGTATTAGCCTAAGACCGGTAGTGACAAAAATACGGACCACAACTATCCTTGAGTTCAGCTACAGACTCGATGAGTTGTGCATGTAAGGATAGCGACGGGGCGCACTGGGTGGCTGACGATGAGAAGTACTTCCTCTCGCTTATGTTAATTTTGAGACCAAGCATAGAAGCTGATTGGTCGACCGGATTTAGCAGTGACTGTAGTGATACAGGATCTGCAAGGATAGCGATATCGCTATCATCGACGTAATCATCAACAACCGCTCCGAAAGCGTTAGTTGATACGGAGAGCTCTGAAAGTAACATTACCGCCAAAGATGTTAGATACTTTAAATGACAGATTATCGTACCGCTACACATTATCTCAATGATGAAGTCAACTCACTTGGTGACGAAACATACACAATCGAATTACAGACCTCGGTGGACTACTCAACAACTGACGAAGCAAGCGCGTCAGCCAATAGCAACCTTAACTCCCGATGGCATGACAAACGTAAATATGGAGCAATCGTTAGTAATGGTTAAAAAAGCAAATGCTTGACAAGTGTTGGAGGATGGCTAAAGTGAAAATCACAAGATTAAAACACAGTGTCGATAAAACAGCGCGTAAGTTGCATGACTTATCAAGAGGTTTGCAGTAACATAGATTTAAGTAATTCTGTCTAGAGTTTAGGGGGGGATTTCAACATAGCTCAGTGCTTGCTATGCACTGATGTCGTCATCACATCATATGATGTAAATGTGTGTGTGTGTGTGTGTTGTCAAGCCATTTTGTATTGTGTTAAGATAAGGGCATTAATTATATGCGATGGTATGGGACTTCAAGGCTGTGCCACAAGAAAGTTCTGTCCACATTCCAGTCAGCTGTACTGTGTGGCCAACTTAAACTGATGACCCCTTGGCGATGTGTTTTCGCTCAATTTCAAAAGTTGGTTGTAAGGGTGGTTGAGGATTTTAGTATATGATACACCACTCTCAGACCGCCCCTTAGAGTTTTCAACTTAATTTGTAGAAAGTATAAGCCACGATTAAACTTCGCACAATAATCTGCCTCGACGGGGAATCGAACCCCGGATACACGGACTACCGGTCCGCTGCTTTACCACTGAGCACTATTCACAACACAAGTAATTTACCATCGCCCATTGAACATCAAGGACAGATACTTCGGTTCATTGGGAAGTGACGAGTGAGTGAGCCAATCTGCAACACCAGGACAGATACTGTGAGCTTATTGGCAATACGTCGCGAACTAAGCAGAAGTCATGTATTAAAGTACGCACCTGATCGTCAGCCCTCGGTAGCTCAGTGGTAGAGCAACGGACCGGGAATCCGTGGATCCGGGGTTCGATTCCCCGTCGAGGCAGATTATTGTGCGAAGTTTAATCGTGGCCTCTACTTTCTACGAAACTCACACTACTCACAAAATCCACAAGCAACTTAATTTGGTAGGGTAGGTGGGACAAAGCATTGATGTTCTTCGTCGCCCTGTGTGGTGCAGTCTCGAGTGCGCTGATATGGTGCTTCTCCCAGAGCTGCCACGCATGGATAGCGTGATCTGACCTATGATTCCTGAAAAAATGGTCTCTGGGAAGTGTGCGGAGAAGGCAAGTACAAAAGTGAGATGCAGAGACGAGGAAGTAATGTTGCCGCACAAAACAAGTAGATGTGGCTATAATGCTCGATAATTCAAGTTGAAATGACTATTTCATACTGCAAACGGCGAACAACATACTTTTCCAGCTTCGGACCAGGAAGCGGCCAAATAGCGACCCCCGTGTTGACGAGCGCGGGTTCGGTTGACTGTACCTTCGTGATTGATAGTGGCCGCTTCTAAATCCGGTTGAGCGTCTAAATCCTCTTCGTCTGAACTGCTTTCATCTGTTTCGGATTCATGATCCGCATCCGCGCCTTCTGGTTTGGCCTACAAGCAGTGCGAAATCGGGTTACATGACAGATTGCAGCTACTAAACCCCAAAGGGTTAGAAACTTGTTATCCTACACTTACCTTCCTAGAGAAGGGCTTCAAATTGTCCAACCGCATCACAACAAGAGAATTCTTCATTCCCCGAGAAGCCTGGGTTCCCGTTATCATGCAAGTGCTTGTTGCAGGGCCGTTTACCTCTATTTCTCTGTTCGAACCCAAATTGTCCAACAGCAAATCGAAACTGAGGCAGGAAGACTCTACCTGAAGTTGGTAAAACATACGGTAGGATGATTTGTCCATAACAAGCTCTTCATCCTGCATTAGTGGTCTCGATCTCCCGGGTATATATGCCTTTGGTTCATCTTCTAATTCTATCGATTGTTCAGGTTCCACTTCCATTTTTTCTACTCGCTTTACAGGTTTTCGTTTCTTACATTTCTTCTTTTCCTTTTTCGAGTGTGAAGCACTCGAACCATTAGGCAAACTTTCATCCGGAGGATCAACAGGAAGAGGATCTACATTCAAATCATCGTCAGCATCTACCATCTAAAAAATGATGAGCAGCTGTTCGTAATTTATTCATTTATTTATCCAACAGACAATGAATAAACATGGAACCATCAAATACCATGGAAATCAAAGGAAAGCACATTTGGCGTAAAAATAAAACCGTACACAACACAGTTTCGTTAGAGGGCACGATACTGCTCGGTTGCCCAAGCTGAGATAGAGTGTTGAGTTTGGGGACACCACCCAAAGCCGTTGGTTGAATACGGCCAGTGCAATGAGCTTGCGCGGGTTCGAACCTGCGTGGTGGAGCAGGGTGAGCCTCGCAGTGTTCTTAGCCCACGTGCGACCGGTGGTTGCGCGGCGGCAAGGCGTCGGTACTGCGTACCAATGTGTACCGCTGATGTTACTTTCTCTTTTGGTTTAATAGCCTGTCCGCAAGATAGTGAAGCGAATTTAGGGAGTCAAGTTGAAAACAAAGGAATCCAGAGCATCGGTCCCAGTGTTGTCGACATTAAAAATGCATTAAGAAGATGGCCAATTGCTCAGTCACATTTGGTGCTGCACACAAGGGTGAAAAAAACGGTGATATCTGAAACCTGCCTGACGAAGAGGGAAATCAAAACGCAAGATAATAATGGTGAGGGAAACATTTTGATCCCATCTTCAGGCTGCACCGAAACCAAACGATCCTGAGACCAGCTATGGATCATTTCAGTGCATAGGAAGATAAAAAGGATAAGTAATAGAAGCTGACCAGCGCCAGCCCAATTCAGTTAAACAACACTATGACCTGGACAAACAAATCAGTGGGAGATTGCCGCGAGGCTTCACTGCCGAGCGACCACTGCAGGCCGCAAGCGCGCTTGGGGGTTCCGTGAGGCCGCCATCTCAGGCACGCGGATCAAGGTGAACACATCGTTTCAGCTTCCGGCAAAATGCCCGCTGCATTCAGTTCACAGGGCTCTCTTCGCCATGAAAACGAAAAATGATGAAGAGGAAGCGGAACAAGAAGATAATACCACAAAAGGTATATATATATATATATATATATATATATATATATATATATATATAT